TTTCTTTGGGATGGGAACAAATATAGATCTCTTCCAGTCAGTTGGCCAAGTGGTTGTTCTCCAGATTTCTTGGCACAACTTGGTGAGCATATCCAGTGTATAAGAATATGAAAACCAAGAAAGTAAGAAAAGCTAAAGGAAGGTTTATATACAGAGTTACTTTTGGTTGGTTAGTTACTAAGAATGGGGGGTGGAAAATTAGTGTTAATTGTAATGAAAATGTTGTAAAACAAAATATATAAATGATTGAGGGGGGGAAAAGGAAAATGAAGGTAGTCTTTTTGTGTTACATTATTTGGCCGCCAATTAGGTTAGGTATTTTGTTTGTATTAGTGTTTTATATGGAATTCGAAGCTATACACTACCAAGAATAGGACTGTTACTTAATATTTTTATCTTGTTATGTGCTGTCGAGTCCTAACAACCATTTGTACAACAGCCCTAAACACTGTTCTGTCCTGTGCCAATCTTCTTGTCTCTGACACACCTAGCCCTAGTACCCTAGTCACTGAATCAACCCATCTCTTTGAGGGTCTTCCTCTCTCGTACTGTCTCTCCCCATCCTGAGTATGATGTCCCTTTCCAAGGATTGGTCCCTACTTGCAACATGCCCAAAGTAGGTCAGATAAAGCTTAAGAATCCTTGCCTCCGAGGAGTAACCTGGTCTCATCCTCAAGGACGAACCTGTTTGTTCTCCTACCTGATTTGGAAAGCTTTATAAATAGATCAGGCCTGAGTATCTTGAATTCAAGAAGAAATTGGAAGAGTTCCCTGACCATCTGGACATCAGCAGTGAGGGAACTCCCCAGGCTACCGGGTTCTTTGAAGTTATGGTAGGGGGCAAGCTGATCCTCTCCAAGAAGAAAGGTGATGGGTACATGGACACGTACAGCAAGTTCCTGAAACTCGTAGCTGCCATCAAAGCTGCCTTCACTCAAGGATGATGGGCCCCAAAGGCAGAACCCAGGGACCTTGGCCCAGCCCCTCAGCTATTGCTTCCTGACAAGAAGGACTGAAATGTCTTAGGGATGTGTGTTCCTTCCCAGAGTCCCTCGTGACTGTTGCATGGGGTGGAGGTCGACGCCCTTGGTCTTTGCCTCTGAGTGTGTGCCCCTGTGTTTGTCCTGAACATCTTAACTTTTCTTGCTGGCTCTCCTTCCTTCCCTCTTGGTCATCTTGACTGCATCCACCATCCACACTCCCCACCTCCATCCTCTTTTTTTTTTCCCTCCACCTTCCCTTCATCTCCCTTCTGACCCCCAAATTTGGTCCCACTCCTGCCGCTTCTAATGAGGAGTCGAGAGAGGGATCTGAATGTGAGGCGAGTGAGTTTCTTGAGATTGCTGACAACATTTGCAGTGGTTCACATTCAATAATGTTGGACTAGGTTATCAACTAAAATGAAAGGAGATCAGGCCTCTTTGTCATTGTTTATATTTTGAGATAGAAATCAGAATTTTTATACCCCATCCCACCCCCAGTAAAACAGTTTCTGTAAAATATGGAAAGGGCATCGTGTGTGTATAAAACTTTTTTTTTAAAGGAAAAAAAATCTTATTAGATAATTGAACTGGAATTTTTAAAGTTAAATGTCAAACTATTTTACTATCTATGGAGGAAATTAAAATTAGTGTGAGGTTATGAATCACTCTGATTTTCTTCATTACATTTTCATATATAATTTGTTTTATAACTAATTACAGTGAATTATGTTGTTTTTGCAACCTTTTATCATAGAATACCTTTCTCTTCACCCAACTAATTAAAAAAAAAATTTTAACAGAGTCTCAAAAAAAGAAGCAACAAGATGATTCTGATGAATATGATGACGATGACTCTGCCGCTTCAACTTCTTTTCAACCACAACCTGTTCAACCTCAGCAGGGTTATATCCCTCCAATGGCACAGCCAGGTCTGCCACCAGTCCCAGGAGCACCAGGAATGCCACCGGGTAACAGAAGTTTATTAAAGATTTTAAGAGTTTTCAAATTTAATTGGTACAGTCTAAGAATTATTACTTTTTTCTTCTAACACTCTTCTACTTTGTTTAATTAGGCATACCTCCATTAATGCCAGGTGTTCCTCCACTGATGCCAGGAATGCCACCAGTTATGCCAGGAATGCCACCTGGGTAAGAAAATGTTAATTGAGTTAGAGACTTGTGCCTTGTAATGGTATTTTTCAGCCTAGGTATTATATTAATTGTTACCTTGGTGTTTTTTTGTTTTGTTTGCTTTGCTTCTAAAAGATTTGGGTTTATAAGCCTTAAATTAGTCTAATAAAATAAATACAAGATGTGTAGATTTGCCTCTGAAGATAATGAATTTTTTGGTTTTAGGATGTATGTAGACAGCCATCTACTTCAATTACATTTGCTGTAATTAAAGTTGTGGTTGTATATTTGAGTTTGAGATTCAGAACTGCTCATGACACCTTGTAGTAACCAGAAGCAAGCACTGTAAATGTTTTATTTGTCAAAGCATCAAGAAGTAAAATTAATTAGAGGTCCTGTGCTCATCACTTTTACGTAAAGATTGTTGGATGTGAGAGGTATACAATACACTTTCCCACTGTATTTTGAAAATCACAGTTAGATTTTGATTTTGTCATACATTTTCACAGATTGCATCATCAGAGAAAATACACCCAGTCATTTTGCGGTGAAAACATGTAAGCATCTCATTCATAATGTAATTCAGGAGGTATAATCATAATGTCATTTTTGTGTGTGTTTAGCGGTATCTATTCAGTAGACTTCAGAAATTCTCTAACCTACCTCTCTAAAACTTAAAATACGGTCAAGCTCATTGACACAAGTCTCTTAAGAAGGTAAATAAAACCTTTTGTAATAAATAGTTCATAGAGAATATTTTTAAACCCTAAAGCTCTGTTCTCCAAACTACCAAAAATAATGGGACTTTAAAATAAGAATTAGTATTTAACAACAAGCTATTATACTTTGTCAAAGTACATGTGGTATTATTCTAGAATATAATTGCTTTTTATTTGGACAAAATTGGTAGAATTTTTTGGGGGAAATCCTAAGCAAAGAATTGACAAACTTGTAAATTTTTTAATGTGCATCAGACACTGGTATTTGAAGATGAGCCTTTTTAGGGGAAGGAACTAAAAAGATTAATTTTTCAAATCATGGTAGTGTTACATAGCTATTCTGAATGAAAGTTAAGACGTTTTTGATCGGCTTTTTTCTGTCAGTAGTTTTGGTCAGTTTACCCTTGTTCTTCTATTAATAAAACTGTACTTATTATTTTCCTTTAAAAAAAATCAGAACATTTAAAGGTTTTTGTTTCCCCCTTTGTTAGGTGTATTTGAGTTTTGTTTTTTTTTTAAAAAAGTGTGTGTGTGTATATAGAGACCAAAGATGGAATATCAGTGACATTAAATACTGATTTTTTTTTTTTAAAAAACAATGACTAATTGTTTTTCCCTTTTGTCAAAGAGTTTGTTGAGGCTTAGAGGGCTTGTATAGAATTGTTGCAGTGTATTATGTGGTCTTTCCACTTAATTGAATTTAGTATTAGAACTTACATGCAAGTCTTTCATTATTGTTTCAGACCTTAGCCAAAGTATTTTCTAATGATTTAGACTATTAATTAAACTACAATTGCTTCTTAAAATTTGCTTTCTAATAGAATGATGCCAATGGGTGGAATGATGCCACCTGGACCAGGAATACCACCTCTGATGCCTGGTATGCCGCCAGGTAAGAAATGTCTCTTTTTTTTAATGACTAGCTGACTTTATTAACATTTTTTAGACAGTGTATTTGTTAGGTGATGGTGTGTACTAGTAGACCCAAACCATAGCTTATCCTCCACTGGATTTTCAGAGGCATTAAATTGTGTGAGAGGAGAATGCCCATTGTTCTCCCTTGAGACAGCTGCTAGATTTGAACCCCATGCCTTTGGGATTTCAGTACTGCTCCCTCCATAGACCACCAGAACTCTTTGTAGGTATTGGTACAGTATATTTTATACATTGGTTGGTGAGGTTTTAAATTACTGTGAAAGATGATGGTACTATTTCAAACTATTGTTTGAAACAATAAAAATAATGATAGAGTGACTTAGAAATCTGAAAAAGTCACAATTTTAAATATTGGAACTCATACTTAATTATAATTTGTATTCATCAGAAATATTATAGACAATATTTTGTATTAATTTTAAGTAAACTTTGATTTGTGACCATAGGACTTTAAGAAGTTTGCAAAAGAATATTTGATGTAAAGGAATAGTAAAGAAGCTACTAAATTGAAATCATTGCCAGTACAACTATTTGTTATATGCAGACGTAACTGCTGTCCTCCATAATAGTACACTCTATGACAGTGGGCACATAACTCATTGCCTTCCAGTCAGAATCCACACTCATAGCCAGCCCTCCACTGGGTTGCATGGGGAAGGGAAAGATTATTCATGTTTTCTCCTTACAGCAGCTGGTGGATTTGAACCATTTGCCTTTGGATTTTTAGTGCAACTCCCTATCCCAGGCCATCAGGACTCTCTAAAAGAATATACAATAATGATTGAGAATTTATTTGATAATCTGATTAGGAAAAGTTTAGACTACTAACGACGTGTTCTAGGAAATTTTATGTGTTTAAAATAATTCTTAAAAAAAATCTTTTTAATGGGTTAAGATAGATCTATCAGAGGTTTTACATTTTAAAATTTTTCTTTAGATTTGATTCTTCAGTTAAGACAGCAGAAGAGATGATTTATTATGTTTGTTACATCCAACCACAACTAAGCAGTACTAGTCCAGAATATCACAGGTTCAGGGCCTAGTTTCAAAGGAAGAAGTTGTGCCTCTAAGAGGTTTTCATGGCAATCGAATGGCAACGGAGGTTCTGGGTCCCTTGAGTCAGAAGTTCTCAATAGGAGCATATGGTCAAGTTTGTATCATTATCTCCAGCCTGTTGTATTTGTGGGTGCACACACTAATGTTTGCTTGGACTTTTGCCTCATCTTTTTTTCTTTATGTTTCACCCTGCTCATCTGTGTTTTCCTCCACTTGACCCTCATGGTTTGGAGGTTGAACAAAATGACCCTAAAATTGAGAGATTTTACTTTATCTTTCAGAGTATAGTAGAACTTTGTTATGTCCCAAAATGTTTTCAAAATCAGTAATATCCATAAACTTAATTGATGTTCTAACTATATAGGTTCTCATATGATGTCTTTCATTTCCTAAAATTCTGAAGAGAAAACAATGATACCCTTTAATGTTTGAGGGAACATTGTTGCAAGGGACAAAGGCTTCAGGTCCTGGACTTCATTAGCTTGTTGAGCAGGCAGTTAGTTGTTAGTAACTCATGGCATGGCTTACTTTTTTTTTTTATTGCGTACCTTTTGATAGGAGACTACTTTTAAAGTTTATGGAAAGGGAACTCTGGTGGCCTAGTGACAAGAATCTGTACTGCAATCCCAGAGGTGTGTGGTTTGAATCCACCAGGTGCTTTCCTGGAGAAGGAGGGACAATCTCCTCCTATACTAGTCAGATCTGATTTGATGGTACATATACAGAATAAGATAAAATTAAAAAAAGGAAAAAAGTTTATGGAAATATTAAATGTTCAGCTGCTAAGTTCTTGTTACCAACATTTATTCTTAACAGGTATGCCTCCCCCTGTTCCACGTCCTGGAATTCCTCCGATGACTCAAGCACAGGCTGTATCAGCACCAGGTATTCTTAATAGACCACCTGCACCAACAGCAACAGTTCCTGCTCCACAGCCTCCAGTTACTAAGCCTCTTTTCCCGAGTGCTGGACAGGTAATATAAATTTTTTTTTTAAGTATGTATTTGAAAAGATAAAAGGGTAGTTGTTGACAGAAGTCTTTGGCATTGTCATAGTACTGTTTTTCTGTATATCTATAATCTTTTAAATATAATTTATTAAATATACAAAATAGTGGTCTGTTTATGTATTTTCACATATATTTCCTCAACTTTTACAGACTGAAACAAAAGATAAATCACCTTTTCATAGTAATAAACTCTCCTACCCTTAGCTTTGTTAAACATAAAAGTTCAATTTCTGTGGACTTAAATGTATATGTTAATATTTAGAGATACTTCATTTGTTGATCTTTGAGCTGAAAATACTAAGACTGTAGCAAGTCATTGGTTGGGTTATTTTCTTTTAGAACTGTAAAAACTATAGTATTGCAGTACTAACTGTAAAAAGCTACAGTACTTTTGGCTCTAGTGGACAGAACATCATGCAGTGGCCTTCAGACTTAGTCACACATTCTGTTTTCCAGCTGGTATTGTCTTTTTCAAGTGACAGTGCCTCTGTTGATAGTACTCATAATGGTTGAAAGCGCCCCTCAAACACCTACTAAAATGATGTGGGTGAAGACTTTCTTGAGAGATCCTTTGGGAAGTCATTAATAAAGAATTGAAATGTTAATAATACATCTTTATTCTAGTTTTAATTACTGAAGTAACACAATGCAAAACAATTTTGAAAAGAATAGTTTGGTTTTAGAAAGCAAACTATATAGTAAGTAGGCATGGTAAAAAATTTTTTTGAGACTTGTGACTATCATTCTTGTAAGTGCATTTAATTGCCACCTCTAAGTAGATCAAGTTTGAGTGTATTAAAATTCGAACTTATAAAAATTCAATCTTTAGGGGGAAAAAGTCTACCACATGGCTTATTTTCACCCATTTGTTTGGAGACTTTTCATCCTTTCCTTTCTTTTATGCTACAGATGGGGACACCTGTAACAAGCTCAAGTACAGCTTCATCCAATTCAGAAAGTCTGTCTGCATCTTCTAAAGCTCTGTTTCCTAGCACAGCACAAGTACGCAGGAAGTTGCAGTTTAACATTGTTAAATGGCTTTATAACTTAACCCTTTGGACCCTATTTAAAACAAAACAAAATCTTGCCCAAAATGCATTTTGTTTCATTTTTAAAATGTAAAATTAGCAACTGATAATTTAATTTCTGTTGTAAATAAGAATTTATGCTTCCAGAAAACAAAAAGTACCCTAAATACTTAACGGTTCTAAAGGGTTAAAAGCATGTAAGCAGAAAATGCATTAGTGGCCAATGGTTAGCCTAATGCATGAATAATCTATTTTGATTTATACTTTTTTAAGTAAATGCAGCACATTAAACATAATAAAATTTAGTATTTTGCATTTGGTTCTAAAATTGGCCTAGTTTACATGTTTTTAGATGTTTGATATTTCTGGTATAACTTAAAAGATTCTGCTAAATTACATTTTAGTCCATGATCATCATGTAGCAATTAGTAATTTTAAAGAATTCTGAAAGAATACATCTAAAAAATACTTTATGTATCTTTTTTTATCATTATTGATAGTAATGATGTTGTGCTTAGTAATGGAGTTTATCCAGACATTTTATATTCTTTAATATCTTTATTTTTAACTGATTGGTAGTTAACTTCAAATAGCTCATGTAGAATGATAAAAATGGAATTATGTGTTATTCACACATAAGTAAAAGCTTTATAAATGAAAAATTTGGTGATGAGGTAGACGATACCTAGCAAGTACTTGTTGATATGACTTTAACTCAGCATATTTTCATGTTTTGGGTATTCTTGAATTATTTGACAGTTACGGAATGTTGATGGTTTCAGTTTGTGTAAAGTTTATGTTCTTTATTTAATGTTGATGCTGGATTTTTTAATACTTTAAACTGGTATATAATGCTCAGCAACTTCGCCATTTTGTTGATGAGGAATTGTGTTTTACAGGCTCAGGCAGCTGTCCAAGGACCTGTTGGTACAGATTTCAAGCCCTTAAACAGTACTCCTGTAACAACTACAGAGCCCCCCAAGCCTACATTCCCTGCGTATACTCAGTCAACAGCGTCAACCACTAGTACAACAAATAGCACTGCAGCTAAGCCAGCAGCTTCAATAACAAGTAAGCCTGCTACACTTACAACTACCAGTGCAACCAGTAAGTTGATCCACCCAGATGAGGATATATCACTGGTAAGTTTTTTCTGTTTTTCCCCAAGTTTGATTGGAGGGCATTATAGCAACTCATCCCTTGTTGAAAAATGTTAGTTTATACACAGATGCATGGTGTATCATCTGATTTAATACCAGTTAAGTGGTTTGAAATATTAATGTTTTTAAGAAAGTACAAAATTTTTAAAATTTGGGTATTGTATGTTTTGATCTTAAACTGCTTTCTCTCAGACTATAAAAGATAGTAAGTTGGAATTTATTTTGATGTATGGTTAGTATTTAGGATTTTAATGAGTAATACCATCTTCACTAGATGAAGCAAATTATAATTTCTAGAGTTAATATTGAGTCCTTGGTTGTCAGTTTGTCATTGTTACCTTAGAAGAAAAGCCTTGTGATCTACTTCTGAAGTATCACTAACATTCACAGCACTTTTCTAAGTTCTGCTTTGGAAAGCATGACCTTGCTATGAATCAGACTTGACCCAGTAATTACTGAATTGGGGGTGGGTGGGTTTTGTGTTGGTGGTTTGTTTATTTGTATTTAGAGAGTGAGTTAAGACAGCTAAGATTTTTAAGTATATTGATTCGTTTGTGGGACAAAAGTAAGTTATGGAGAATTTGGTATAACTATTTAAAAAAATCATTCTTATTCTAGAACTAGGATTTTAGATACTGCTTTTTTATGCCTAAAACCTGTGTGTTCAGGTGTCTAACATTGTATTTATTTTTATTCATAGGAAGAAAGAAGGGCGCAGTTACCTAAATACCAGCGTAATCTTCCTCGGCCAGGACAGGCTCCAATTGTTAATCCACCTGTTGGACCAATCGGAGGTATGATGCCACCACAGCCAGGCATCCCACAGCAACAAGGAATGAGACCTCCAATGCCACCTCACGGTATTTTTTATTTTTATTTTTATTGCATTTAGTGGATTTTCTGAGTATAGATATAAAAGTTATTCTTCAAAAGACATTTAAAAATATAATACGTAGACCAATTCTGTTTTGTTTTTCAAATGTGTTTTTTAGGTCAGTATGGTGGTCATCATCAAGGCATGCCAAGTTACCTTCCTGGTGCTTTGCCACCATATGGGCAAGGACCACCAATGGTGCCCCCATACCAAGGTGGGCCTCCTCGACCTCCAATGGGAATGAGACCTCCTGTAATGTCGCAAGGTGGCCGTTACTGATTTTACTTCATCTAATCTAATAGGTTTGGAGATTAAACCTTTTCTCAACTTGTGCTGTTTATATAGCCAAGCTTCCGTCAATTAAGGCTTCATTGTGACTTTAACAAACATTATCTTCCCACATACCAGGAACTATTGGACATGAATTTTTCATGGGAAAATTATTTGGAATAATAAAGCAGGAAATTTCCTGAAGTTGCAATTTATACTGTATGGCTTCTTTTTCATGTTTCATCTAGGTTTTTAGAAGTGAAGTATAGTAAATTTGGTTCGTTAAATTGTGAAGGCGCTGGAATTACATGAACATACCACCTTAATAAAGGCAAGTTCTGTAAGCTTACATTGCTATTTGTAAAGTTATGCCTTCACAGCATTTCAGATGCTGTTGGACATTATGTCCCCAACATAGCTTGGTGAGGGCTGTAACTATTTCCAAGTACCTGTACATTGGAAGTCTGAATGTGTAACAATATTTAATGTATCTAGAGTTCCTCATGTTGCAGGGTTTAAGAAATCTGACTCACCAAAGTCATGTGACTTTTTCTGTACTGTTAAAACGTCATTGTAATAAAATGAAAGAAAAATTTATGCCTTTTTATTCATAACCCAGCTGTGGACCACTGCCTGAAAGGTTTGTACAGGTGCATGCCACAGTAGATGTCCACATAATAAAATTCATAGTTACCAATGAATGCAGTTTTGATACATTATTGAATTCTGTTGAATTATAGTGTTCCCTTAGCTGCATGTTGTAAACTGGGCAATATATATAAATGTTAATACCTCAGTTGGAAGAAAAATAAGATCATATGATTGGACTACATTATGAGCATGAGGTCCTTTATAGTGTTTTTTCGCCACACTGTGTGGTACCCATACATACCAGGTATCATGTAAAATGTAAACTTAAATAGGCTTTTTTCTTTTAATGAAAATGATGATTAGAGTCTAGTGCCAGACCTAGCCATTTCCATCTCATTATTTTTGAGGCTTCAGTACTACGTGGACCTCAGAAGCTTTTCAGGTGCAAGCTTCTAGAAGCTTAGGTGCATGCAGTATGTGAACAAGGGTTGTATAAAGTATAACATTGAAAAATCTAAATATTCATGAGTTAGGTTGTTAAAGTGAATGAAAAATTTCGTTTTATAAAACTGGATGATTTTATTACTTGATTAGATGCATACCTTCTGTTATTAAGTCTCACAGTTGCTTTACTATTAGACTTTTCCTTTGTGAAAGTTTTAACGTTAGCATGTTGTTACAAGTGTCTTTAATTATAGCTTAACGTAATTAAGCTGACCTTTTTGTGGCACCATTTTTCCCTTGAATTACTTTTATATGTCATTACATCAGAATGACCTTTATAAAACATAATTGTAAAAAAAACCCAAAAAAACAAAAACATAATCGTTATGTAAAGGTGATTACTGAGAACTTTTGATGTTTCTTTAATATTTAGTAGTTCCTTTATGACAGTTATGGGAAAGTATACATATATATAAAGTGAAATCTGAAGATTTTCATTTTTAAAAGCTTTAAGCTTGTTGGAAAGCATTTCTTTTTTTTTTACATTGTTAGAAATTTGTTTCTGGGGGGAAAAATTTGTTTCTGGTTTTAGAAGTTAACCAAAGTCCATCCTTGTTTAAGTATCAAGTCATTTGTTTAAACAAAATAATTTTATAAAGCTAAGTGCTGTTTTAAATCTGCTATTCCAGTGGTTTGGGTTTTTTTATTTTTGTTTTCATGTGCTGGGATATGTAAAATGTTTCATACTTTGGAAATGAACCATCTGGTGCCTGCTAGAAAGTATTTCTCTTGCCAACAGCCAAACTCCTTCCTACATTGAGTGTCTACCTGAATAGATAACATATCAGTAGGTTTAGCAAAACATCCTTCCAAAGAAAAAACATCTGTAAGGTAAAAATGGCATAGTAAATTAGTATGATTAAATAGGAAATGCTCTCAAATCAAACTGTTTCTCATACATTTAATGTTGAGATTTCCTGACATACTTGTAGAGAATTAGTAGAGCTGTTGCAAAATTAAGCAGAAGACTAATGTTAAAGCAAGGTTGTTAATCATGGTATTTAAGAAAATACATATACACATGCTATGTATTGTTGTTATGTGACTCAGAGATGCTGCTCATTTGGTATTTCTTAATATAATTTGTGCATGCATCAGGCCATAATTAAGCTTCTAGAAAAAGAACTGCTTCTGGGGTCCTTACGTACTTAAATTGAGTATGGAACAAATGACAGTGAATAATTAGCCCTTTAAGTTGTATTAATAAGTGAAGTTGAGTTGATGTCAACTTCATCTGCTGAAGACAGGTTTTGAGACTTGGTATATTTGTAATGTTAATTGGCCTTTTACCTTGGCTTTTCCTGCCATCCGTCCACTTATCCTTTTTTTAGAAAAAGAAAAATAGCTTAAAACATTTTGTCTGGCACTAGCTTCTATTGTAGCTGTTCTCTGCTCTGTTTACAGTACTAAGACCAGCAAATGAACATCAACTTTTGAGTGGCTGCTGGAATTACAATTTTATTTGAATACTTAAGTACTGTAATCTCCTTAAACATTTGCCTCAGGATTTGGGAAAATACTCTTAGGTATACTCTTATTCCATTGATCAAGTTACAAATGAAACTTAAACTCAGCTGAATTAACTTTTGTTATTTGGAGGGGAAATCCTCAACTAAAAAATAAACTCAGAATGTCATCAGTAGACACAGTGAGAAAATTTTAAAAGCTGTTCTTTTTCCTTAATTGCTTGATCACTGGGATTTTTTTTTAATGCATGTCTTTTAAATTAATTGGGTAATGTTTTTCTAAAATTAAAATTTTTTTCTTCCTATAGCCCTGCCATAGGACAGGCTGAGGCTGAGTCTCAGTGTTGCCCTGTTCAGTCTGAGGCAAGTGGGATTTATTTTATTCCTTATGGGGGCTTTCACAGCTTTATGGCTGTTGGATATTTATGTCCCCAAACTTGCAGCAAGTTTGGTGAAGGCCCCTAAATTTAATTAAACTTAGGATTTTTAGAATATTTTTTTTTTTGGCAGAGATGGCTCTATATTAATATTCATGTTTGACTGTGGTGTCCATGAGTACTTGGTTCATACAATTTTACATAATTTGTTAGGTATTGCATAATACTCAGTAGCCTCAATAAAGCTTGCATAACTTACGAACTTTAACAAATTTTTACTTTCTTGATACAGAGGCATGAAACACTTGTTTGCATTTTCTCTCTTCCCTTTTAGGAAAATGTTACTAGTTGTTTTCTCTTTAAATGAAATTTTACCTCCAATATAAGTTTAATCATTGTAATACCACTGGATACAGATACCTACATTCTTGAACCTCAAACTTAAGCATTGAATATTATGGTTAAAGGTCTTATGAAAGTGCTTGTGTTTTTTAATGTTTTTAAACCTCACCACATTAGAGCAAATGTTAATGTAGAGCCTTGTGACTAGTGGGAAGGTGGGGTGTATGAATGATAATGTATGTTTGTATGGATGTAGGCTACACATATAATTTAATAAAAAGATGATGAGTTTTTGGGAATTCTCTCTGTCAGCATAGAGTGACTAGTGGTTTTGAGACAAATTGCAATGTGTGGTAAAGTTACCAATCTTTAAATTTGATTTTAGAATGATTCTGTTGAGGTTCATTTTTAGCCTCATTAATATTTTATGCAGGACACACATATGGAAAGTTGAATACATTTATTCCAAAATTTGCTTTCATTTGGTGGGACCAGTTGTATGTATGTGCGTTTGTTGGAAGAGATAAACAAGGATTTGGAAGATAGGCCAAAGCAAAAACCTGGATTACTTTTATCCCCATGACAATTTTAGTCAGAAAACTGGAACAGTAACAATAGCTAGTACACTGATTAGCAAACCTGCGATTCTGTTTGTGTGGAAGCATAAAGCAAAAACACATGCTAAATTAGGTTAAGAATTTTGTTGAATTTGCACAGAAAATACTGGAATATTTTATGACCACCTCAGTAATTATACTTTTAAGACTCTTTGGTTTCTCTCACACAACACTCTTAATAGGTGAAAATCTCTTGAATCTGTTTGCCCTGGTTTAATAATGATAATTGAAACAAATGTAAGCAAAATAGATTTGTCTTTTACCATGCTGGGCCATAGGAGTGGGATTTCAGCTGATGGCAAAATATGTTGGAAGTGATCTATATAGATATCTTAAGATGTAGGGATTTTACTATCTTTGTAGTTCTGTGACTCAGGTTTGATTTAAACATGACCTGCTTTCAAGTTTCTAAAGTCTAGTAGTAAAGCTGAGGCAATAAAGGCAAGGCTATAAAAAAATTCTTCCTTTACTGTAATATAATCTCATAGAAGATTAAGCACTGTATTTATTAGAGAATTAAACACATTCTGAAATTTTGTAATAAACAAACTGTTTTTAAAACATTATCTAATGTTGATTAACTTTGTAATTTATCCCACAATGAAGCTCATTTCTCTTTAACTGTCGACAAAAAGTGGAAATTCAGAAAGAAGCTTTGACTGCTGGGGACAGATTTTTGCAATTACAATTCAGCTATCACATTAACTTGATAAGGATTCTTAGAGAAGGTTACTTTTAGCTTTATAATTATTGTAAAAAGAACTTTTTTTTCTTTTGAGGCATAGAAATTTTCTTTGTTCTTTGCAAAAAGTAAGTACTTAATAGTAATTGTATATAGTATCATACCTGTAGTGGGTAGCCACCGTTCTGTAATGCTGAATTCTCAAAGTTGTACTTTTTTTTTTTAAATACCTCAAAATTGTACTTTTAATATAGTAAGTCCTTGAGTATTTCTCAGGGATCTAATATAGCAATAGAGAGCAAGATTTCCGTTTAAGCTTTCTAAAACTTTAAATACCATGAACTGGTTAAGCACTGGAAGTAAGTTCAATGTTTTTTGTTAGTAGATTATTTTAGTACCATTCAAATGAATTGTTTTTGTTTAGAAGCACTTTGCTGTACTTTTTTTAAAAAAATTGATTATGGGATTTTTTTTTAAGAAAAATTTATTTTTTAACTGGACTTAAAATTAGAGGTAGAAGCTCTTAGAAAGGAAAGGCCCTCCCTTCTACCCAAAATTGGTAAAATACACTACTTTAAAATTTGAAAAAATAACTTGGCTTTACTCAAGTTAATTTGAACTGTTCTCTGTTGACATAAATTAAACCCTAGTATTAGATATCATTAGTTGGAAAAATTCATGGCTGATTTTTGTGGTTTTTTTGAAGAGGCATAATCACCAGCTATACTATGAGACTCTTACTTTGACCAAAGTTAACTACAGAAAATCTTAAGAATAGACCATCCCACAGCTGATTGTTTGGAACTCTACCCATTAATCCTACATATTTTAAAAAGATGTTTGAAATTATGATAGTGCACAGCTTGAATAATGCAAATTGTTTAGTCAATACTTCGTGCAGTTCCATTTGTAAAAGGACAGGAGTCTTACTGACATTCTTCAAGCCTGTTTCTATGGTTACTTTAATTTTATCATGATTATGTAGAAAATTATCAGAGTTAACCATTTCTATATCTCTTCACCTTTTGTTAAATGTAATGAAAATTTTGAGGAACTGGAAATGAAGATAAAAACAAAAAATAATGTTTCCTCCGTTTATGAAATACAGACCTTGAGTATT